TACATTCTATTTATTTATTTTTCTTGAAGATACTAGCTTGTGCGCTAAGCTACTCTAAAATTCAATTTGAATAAAGTTCAATATGTATGTATGTTCTGTTTTTTTCCTGTTCTTGAGGAACTGCTTGACAGCTTTAGTTCATTGCAAACTACATTGTACAGTGAAAGTGTCTAATTGAACTCCAGCAACCATGTTGACTGTTTATCAACTGTTTGTTCATTGTTTGTTTGTTATTTGTTGGCTGTTTGTTGACCCTTTTTCAAAGCAAAAAATGTTGATTGCATCATTAAATATGATATGACTATTTACTTCCATTTTTAACTTGTAGATTTGCATAGCTTAGGAACAAGTTATTGCAAGGGGTCTAATTATTATGCAATACAGTAGCTGAGTAGCTATAGCAAGCTTTTGAAAGTCACAAAAATCAGAGAGAATTTATGGTTTTTGGGGATGATGTTCCTAAACCCCAAACATTCTTTCTTATTTTTATTTCTTGGAATGACCTATCTCCTATTGCTTTTCATTTATTGCCTGTTGCCTTTGGTGATGTCAAGGTTTATTGAAATAGGTGTATACAAATTTAAAGCTCAAAAAGATATTTTTTATATCTTTTTTTTGAAAATATTGGTGGAGCTGGAAATTGCAAAAAAACAGCTGACCAATCTGTACCATGCTGCTGTGGGCCACTTCCCCTCCCCTGGTAGGGCAAATCATTTTTTGCATCTTATTCAGTAACTTTTTAATTTACTGAAATTATCAGTTCATTTAACTGTTAGAGCTTTCATTATACATCTCTAAACAGTGGGATAACAGTTTTCATGGCCGATCCTGACAGCAAAATTGCAACAACAAAAAACGGCCGTAATTTACAGGATATATTCAGCCCTTCGGGGAATTTAATGTAAACAAACCAACAAAAAAAAAATGCATTGTCGGTTGTGAATTAAATCATACCCATTGTGGAATGTATCTTGAATGTCTTCCGATAATATTTCAGATCATTTTTAAGATAATTCAGCCCTTTGCTCATGGGATTTTCAAATTCTTAAAGCAATTGAAAAACCATATCTAATATGAGTTTATTGTGATTGATAATGATCAACATTGTCTTAAAACCAGTATTTCTATTTCTTTGCAATCATGTGATAAATAGGATATATATACAGCAGATTTGAAACTAAACAACAAAGGGACTGGTCATTATTTATGAGGGAGGGGGGGATTTCTCTTGGATAGTATAGAAATTACCCATAGCCCACCCCCTAAGTTCTGCAAGTTACAAGTTAATAGCCCACCCCCTTTTAGTATGCATAAAATATATGACCCCCCTCCCCCTTCCGAAAGTTTGGCCCAAAATGATACATCCTCAGCAATGCTTATGTAATAGACAAAGCACTACTACTACACTAGTCACATATAAGTGATTTTGAAAAAAAACTTTTCCTTGAAACACATGTTAAGTCCTTGCCCGATAAGACTTGAAGGTCAAACCATTTACAAAGACAGCACCTTCTCCTCAGTTATTTTAATACCCTGGTCTGGCAGAGGCTTGAACCACGACCTCCTGCACAACAGAACTACACTCTTACCAACTGAGCTAACTGAGTGGCATAACCTGTGCCTTATAAATGGAGTTTTATGGTATATGGATAATCTAAGAGTTATGAAGCATTGARCTACTGTAATCATTCAACCTGTCTTTTAAAGGTCATGATAATCAATATTTTTA